ATATAATATTTTAAAAGAAATTTCCATTATTTAAAAGAAATTTTGATTCAATTTAATATTAGGTTAGTGTTTGCTCTCATTTTTATTTTCTATCTTATAATTTAGTTAAGTTTAATTGAGTTTAATTGAAGTTTATGGTGCTATTTGTGAAATTTTAGAAATGTTGTGCTAATTTTGGAAGAAAAACTTTTTTTGTGTTATTTTTGTCAATTGCCCATATGATAAAAGATGTTAGTAATAGTAAGTAGTAACCAATCATTGTAAAGTAAACAACGTTCTTTATTTTTTTTTGAACAAACTTAGATTAAAGAACGTTCTTTATTTGAGGTGAAAATTTACCGGAAAAAAAAGTCAAAAACATATATACCGTCATCACACATCACACATGATCTATAGATGCATACATCAACAAAATTCTTTATATATTGTCATTTTTGGACCAACAAATTAGAAAAAAGGGAGAGAACGGAGATATTAGATGAGTTTAGAGGAAGATTTCATAATCTTGGCAAAATCTCAAAAGTCAAGAGCTGAAGAGTAAAACACCAACATAAGATAAGATCTAATAAAAAGAATGGATAGTCATTTTACATGTTTTAAAAAGTGTCATATATTATGCATATACAACTAATTAACTCTTTTCTGTACTACAATTTTGTATAAACATGATATGGGTAACAATTATACACACTGGAGATTCATCATGAACTATGGGTAATATCTATACATACACCGGATATCGATCATATTTTTGCAACAAAATTTATTAAATTTTCATCTCTTTCATGTTAAAAAATCCCGCCGCCACACCACTAAGAGGGGAGAGCACTCAATGCCCTACATTACAAGCAAAGACAAATTTAATTGTTTATTTTACCTTTTGCTTAGAGCATCAACATCCACCATTCACCCGAAAGAAAGCCCTAAATAATATTTCTTCTTTACCCACCCACTCCCAGTGTTTATCTAAACGCACTGAGGTCAATCGAGTTTTAAGTGGTCAGAGAATTTACATCGGATTAATTTTAGTTCTGTATCAATTCAGGCTGTGACCGGTTCACTTAGGTAAAATAAATGAATGAAGAGGAAAAATGTGTCCCTCCTTGTTATCACTAATCAAGAGGGAAATGGAGAAAAACAAATATTTCCTCCTTATTTTATGGAAAAGTTAAATAGCAAGAACAAATCAGAGTTTTTAGTGTTTTATCTTCTATATTTTTTTTGTGTTATTATAAAATGTCAACCAGTGATCACAATCTCAATATGTAAGTCCTCAGTTACGAAGGAATTTTTTTTTACAGGATATGAAACATGCATGCTTCATTGGTGGAACATATTAGAACCCACTTATCCATCGTAAGCACTAACTTAGTTGATGTAATGGACCACACTGCTCAAAAATATCAACTTTCCATTACCTTACGTTATCAAGAGGGCAAAGAGATCTACATGCATAAATGTGTATATGTCAGATAGTGATGGATAGAGGAAGTTTGGTGAAGCTATAGATGGGAAAGTACCGAGATAGCTAAGTTTGTAAAGAGTGTTCGGTTTTCTTGTTATAGATTAGGCTATGTATATTCCTTAACGGTCCATGTTTCTCTGTGCAAGGATAATATATGACGTCAAATTTAATTTAGGCATTACCCGAATGCAACTTCTTTTGGGACACACAAGAAATGAAGTTTGGTGAATAGCAGAATAGCCAAAGCAAAGAGTAAAACGTACCAAATTCAAGCTTGTAGGATGATCCCCACGCTATCAATCAACACCATATTGATGCTCCAACATTACGAAGAAACAATATCGAGTAAAGCTATATATAGAAACGAGAGACTTAAACAAACCAAAATAAACTGATACGTAAGCATAAATTTGAAGTGGCATGTAAATTATGTTTCTGCATTATCAACAACATAGATCATCAGCTGACTCAAAGCCTTTGAGCAACAACTCAAAACTAGAAAAATCAGAAAACTTATGTAAATGCAAACAAATGAGGATATTGTAATGCAAATCTCTAGGCAGTGCACGTATCTATTAGTAGGTAATGCGTTTTTGCTAATCATTTTAACACAAATATTGATAACATGTCGTATAGTGAGAAGTATAAAACGAGTGAATTAAAGATGTACAATGAGATTGGGGTTTTGTGGATTTCCTACTAACGAGACATTAGAAATATAGGAAAGTGAGGCTTGCGGGCGCATGTTAGCAATTAAAGAGAAAGGGGAAATATTCAATGTAAGAATGATTGTAAAAATCAACTTGTGGTTCGAATTTGGAAGTGACATCCACTTATCAAAAGTCATTTGGACTCCTTTTGTGGTCCTCCTAGTGGCACCACCTTATGATGTAGGCAAGCCTCCGCTACAATCGTTTTCTTTTTGGTCAATATATAAATTTTTCGTAAACTTAATATTATTAGATTGTGAATGGTTTGTAACAGTTGAAACTAGTGTGGTTAGATGTCAAGTAAAGTGTAAAGATGGTTGGTGTAATGCAAGCACACAGAAAATGTCAATTTGTCTAGCAAATCCACTAAAAGTTTATTTCAATGTTAATGCTTAAATCAGTCTTATTTATAAACATAACGGTTTCTATTTTAACTTTTAACTCTTATTGATGCGACAAATGAGTGTTCGTAAAATTAATCTTAATTGTTTTTTTTTTCACAAACGAAGAGATATTATATTATTATGTGACCTCCATTCTTATTATTTTTAAACCGGCATGAAATGAATCATTAGTGAAACAACTTGAATTTTCAAAACTATTCTAATGTTGACAAAGTGTAGATCTCCATCCTTATTATTTAAACCGACTTGAGATGAATCATTAATACATCATATTTTATAAATGACACTAGCTCAAATTTTCAAGAGACCAAGATATATATACCTTTCAACAATAACATCATGAGTCATTAATTAAACAATATATTATTGAATATATTATTGAAGGGTTTGGTAATCTAATCAGTAATCAATTTGAGTATCTTGTATCACCTACATAATCATATACATCTTCAAGAATATAGAAAGAAATTTTTAAGTCATAAACAGGCCCGGCTCTAGGCATGTGCTTTGGGTGCCATAGCACAGGGTCTATTACTTTTTCTTGTCTTTTTTCTGAATAAAATAGGGTCAAAATTTTTTTTTTTTCTAAAAACCATAAAGAAAAATGCCCATTTTTTTTCCAAGCTCAAGGACTTTAATAAAATTGAGCCGGCCTCATAAACATACATTGGATGCAACGGTGATGCACAACATGTACTTGGAGCATACCATTCTTTGGGGACATTCTGACACATAATTCAGCCAAACTAAATTTTAACTATTTCAAACTAAATTATTTGTAATTAGATAACTTTTCCTACCATTTTAACTTACTAATTTACTATCAAATCTTTTAACTTAGTATATTCTGGTCACACTAATCACATCTACACCTTTATACCTAGAGGTGTCAAACGGGCCGGCCCGCGTCCATCTGGGCCGGCCGGCGATGGGCATTTAAATTTATGAGACCGCGGCGGGCCGGCCCGCTAGGACCGCGGGCAAAAATAATATGTCCAGGCCCGCCCCGCTAAGCCCAACGGGTTAGCGGGCCGGCCCGCAGGCTTAGTTTTAAATATTTTAAAAATAATTAAAAAAATAAAATTAATTTTTAAAATTTGAAATTAACAATTTTTCAATAAAAAAACTTTTAGAATTATTTTTTTTGTAAATCTTATAATTTTATACATTAAATTTCGTTATATGTTCATATATTTCACATATATATTTTTAGAATTATGTAAAAATATTTATTTATTTTTATTAAATATTTGTAGTCCGCGGGCCGGCTCGCAAATCCGCAGACAAAACCCGCAAAAACCCGCAATCCGCTTGGGCTTGTCCGCGAGGCCCGCTATTTTATGGGCATGAAAAATGATGTCCAAGTCTGCCCCGCTGTGGGCTACTTGGACAAAGCCCGCGGGCTATCGGCCCGCTTGACACCTCTATTTATACCACAATTACTACAAGTCTACAACTATTCCGAGATCTTTATGTGAAAAATATAAAAATTTGTTTTTTTTTTTGTAGTGTGAAAAAATCGAAATTAGTTTAGGAGATCCAATTTTCTTAAGGAAGATTCACAAAAATGCCTTTTTTTCAATACCCTTTTTCAAAAATGCCCCATTTGGCTGTCCATTTTTTAAAATACCTCTTTCTATGTACAAAATGACAAAATAACCCTTGTTTAATAAAAGATATCACAAATATATAAGGAAATATAACAAAATTAGGTCCACAAAATACAAAATATTTTTTGGCGGGAAAAGTGATCCTGCAATTTTTCCCACCAAAACACTTGTAAAAACTTGTAAAACCTTTAAAATACCTTGTAAAATTTTCCCGTAAAATTTTTTTCCGCCAAAAACTTTTTTTTGCGGGAAAAGTGATTCCGCAATTTTTTTGACGTTAAATTTTTGGCGAGAAAAATTTACAAGGTATTTTAAAGGCTTTTTACAGGGTATTTATAAGATTTTACAATGTATTTTAAAAGGTTTTACAACGTATTTATAAGGTATTTATAAGATATTATAAGATTTTACAAGCTATTTTATAAGGTTTTACAAGTTTTTTATAAAGTAAAACCTTACAAAACACTTGTAAATACTCCGTAAAACCTTTAAAATATCTTGTAAATTTTTTCCGCCAAATTTTTACAAGGTATTTTAAAGGTTTTTACAAGTATTTTGGCGGGAAAATTGCGGGATTACTTTTCCCGCCAAAAAATATTTTATATTTTGTGGATGTAATTTTGTTTCAAATAAGGGTAAAAATGGTCATTAAAAATTAAAAAAGAACAAACTTAAAAATGAATTCTCAAATATGGTATTTTTAAAAAGAATATTGAAAAATGAGCATTTTTAACAATATTTCTTTTCTTAAAACATAATTAGGAGAGCACCACCCGACCAGACCCCACCACCACATATAAACACTTTTAATATAAAAATGAGATAAAGATCAATTACGGGCCCATTTGAATTAATGGCATTTTCGTAGTTCTCCCGAAATCCAAGGCCATTCACATAACCCTAATGTCTATAAATATGCAAACACAAATCTCCAAAACTCAAGAGACCAAAAAAATCTCTAAACACATCTACAAAAGAAGGAATCACAAACTAAATTAAGAAAAAACAAACATAAGAAAAAGTATGGGGAACTGTTTAGTAATGGAGAAGAAAGTGATAAAGATAATGAGAAATGATGGGAAAGTAGTTGAATACAGAGGACCCTTGAAGGTTCATCACATCCTCACCCAATTCTCTCCTCACTACTCTATATTCGACTCTCTCTCCAACAATTGTCATCTTCATCCCCAAGCCAAGCTTCTCTGTGGTCGTCTCTACTATCTCTTGCCCCAGGAGACGACTAAAATCAAGCACGTGAAGAAGACGATGAAGAAAGTCAGGTTTGCAAATCCAGAGGTCGAAAAAGAAGAAGAAGAAGATAGATTAACAGATTGTTGTGACAACACCAAGGAGAAGTCTAATGGTGTTGTGAGGGTGAAGATGGTTGTGAGTAAGCAAGAGCTGGAGAAGCTGCTTCAAGGAGGTTCTGTTCATGAGATGGTTTATAGGACTCTTGCTAAGCAACATCTGTGTGCTGATGATGATGATGATCATCATCATGATCATGCTGAAGATGATGAGTGTCATAGAGTCTGGAAACCTTTGTTAGATAGCATTCCTGAATCTGATTAGCCTATTGTATGTACATATATATATGACATATACATAGATAACAGAGACTCAAAGCTTGTGAAAAGAAAGCATGTAATTCGCAGAAACACAAGGGAGAAAGTATAATATTTGTATTGAAAAACCCTTAAAAAGTTGATTTTGTTAGGATGGAATTTTCCGAAAGGCAAAAGGTCTGAGTGCTTATTTGGGTTAACTTCAAAGCCTATAGGCCTATAATAGGCATCTCTAGTGGCCTATAAGCAAAGTAAAGATTCATAATGGTGGGTGAAGAAAATGGCTTCTAAGACCATTAATTACTAATCGTATTCAACTATTCAAGTAAACGCGTTTTGTCTTTAGCACAAATATTTAACTGTGTATATACATGTATGTATGTGTGTACTTGTCATGGGGCTAATCTTCTTTGCTTTCAACTTCCAGAGAGACCTCGTTGCGGCGCATAAACGGGAGAGTGAATGGTGGATTATACTGCAGGGAACGAATTCATCAGTGTCAGTAGAGAGTCTAAAGACATACGATTTGATTTTCTTATTTAATCCATTTTGTCATTTATGATTGTTGATTAACCTGTGCAACTTCAACTGAAACTCCATCTCTCACTCGAAACTTCTTGTCGTTTTGAAGAGCCCGCCTTAATTCTTGCTCCCGTCTCTCAATCTCTTCATCGGTAACATAGCCTGAAAGAAAGTTGAATTTGTTTATAGATGACAAGAAAATTCTGATCATGTTAGATGCTTCAAGAGGTACCCAGTACCTTCGTTTCAGTGAAAGATAACTATCCGAAACCATGAACATGTACTGAACATTGCATGTCAAGATTATGTGTTGTATATCATACATTAGACTAGACATTTCTTTCTAGGCGAATTCGTGAGAATCATTTTAGAGAGAATGCGCTAACTATTTTAACTGCTTGTTTGTGATCATGAGAATAATCTCTGACAGATATACAAGACTGGAACTAGTTCGGGATTCTCTGGTGTATAATATCTTTGATTCTTCAAAGTTCAAACTAGTGTATAGTCAGATGTGGATGTGAAATTGAATATCTTTACCTGAGAAAGCTACAACAGCAACAATCTTTCGTGGCACCTCCAGAATTTTGACTGAAGAATCTTTTGGCAGTGGCAAATTCGAACCATACTTTGAGGGCATGACAAAAGACATCCGCCACTGAGTTTGATCTTTTGCCTGAAGCATGCAAGCAAATCATATACTACTAATTGACTAGGACCTAGAACAAGGAAAAAAATGAATCAAAGACTACCTAAGAAAACGAAACATAGCTAATCTCCAATTTTGTAAGAGAAAACTAACAAGCAGGAATCCCAGGTTCCTAGCACTTACATATGAGGAAATAATAGTATAATACTATACACTATCATTGATCTCTTCAACATCTAGAGCATAGGAGGGTGATGAATCTTATCAAGAACAAGCCTCATCTAAAAAAGGTAATAAAAAGAAGAAACCCAACTCACTCAAAGCTACTCCAAAATATGCTATCTATGTCAAAATAAGCTAAGAACTCCCAAAAAGAAACCCTCCACGATCCATTGATGAGATACTTACCTTGGTAGTAATTACTGGAGTAGTCATTTCCATCTTTTCTCCAACAGATTGGGCTTTACGAGTAACAACAGGGGTCGTCATCTCCATTTTCTCCTTTCTTGTGTTCTGTCGAAAACAAAAGCATCCAGATTTAAAGCAAGCCAGTATTCAAATATCAAACAAAAGTGAAGCAAAAATTCATACGAATGGTTCATAATGTACCTTACCAAATAGGTACTCAGCTAACACATTAAAAGACTTAGAAGCACCATAGAAGTCAAATCCAGTTTCCCCTGGCATTGTAGTCTCGGCGACAAAGTAAGGCTGCATCAAAGTCATGGCTTTTAAAGTGAGTCTATGTTTAAACAGAGAGTGTGAATGAAAGTAACATAGAGAAAAAGAAGAACAACCTCAACTTGTCTAATCTCGTACTTATCAGTCCTACTTACAACTCTGAATTCCATTGTCTCGAGATCAGGAACTAGATAAAAGATTCAAGCTTTAACAAATTAAACTACACACAAAGCGAAAGATAAACTAGATAAAAAGGCTATGAACTAACCGGACATCAACGCTTCTTCAAGATTAGAGCTATTGAATCTCTTCGGGAAAACGTATTTCGCAGTCTCCACCGCCAAATCAGCTAAAACTGATAGAAACCAAGCAAATAGTTGGATTCGGATACGAAATTGCAGAAATAGAAGCAAGTGATGAAAGAGGGAACATTTACGGCGTTGAGAGACAGAGGAAGCCTGAGAGGCGAGAGCAAAGACAAGAGAAACCCTGGATTCAGTGGCGGACACGGCTTGACTCTGCCGCTGACGCCGGATAGCTCTGTTCATAGCAGCAACCACTCTCGCCGTTCTGACGCTAACTGAGCATCTCTGGTTAGGGTTTGGAAACGAATTGAGATCGATGGGCAATTTCTTGTGAGATGAAGACAGAAGAAGAGAGAGGGATGATGATGATGCAATGGAGGAGGAGAAGCTCATCATCATTTCTCTTCGCAATCAATCAATCTTCTTCCAATTTCCCAGAAACAATTTTTATTAATTAAATTCTAATTATCAAATTCCCGACCGCTCGATTTTGGTTCTCATACCATACCGGTAGATTTTTCTGGTCCTCCTCATACCAAACCGATTTTTCTTTTTTTTTTTTTCCTTTTCCTCTCTAATGTTAAGTTTCAATAGGTGTTATTGCCACAAGTTTTGATACTACAGTTGATTTTCCAGATGATGAACCAAGAATTGACACTTGATGCATCCTCTTTAGGAATCATCTCCCTTGGAAGGAATTTCTATATCTTTTTACGTTGCTTGGGATCAATTGTAATTTTGTTAAGACAGGAAAAAAAATTCTCTGGATCAAAGATGAAAAAACCAATAACTAAACGCCTAAAATTAAAAAAAAAAAACACCACAACTCATGTCTCTTCTTTTTTTTTGTCATGAATCTCGGAGGATAAGACTCCGTACATAACAATAAATTTTAATAGCATTAAGCGATGAAACACACAGAAACTGCATAGATCTTCTTTGTTATATATGAACCTCGTGGATCTCTAATATTTGAAGGGCGTAGAGATTGCACGTCGTCAGCCACGTATCTACAAAATAAAAGGAACATGAAGTGATTGTAAAAGATTATGTAAGACATATATAGGTTATAGGATGTGCCAACAAATAAATGAACTTACTTAGATAACCCGGAGTATTCATTACTTCCGACAACGAATCACATACGTATTCTAATCCTTGTGTGGTCAACATCACGTCTAATGGCGGGGGATGAAATTTTATCCCAACTTGGCCAACACTAATTTGGAATGAAGAAGAGCTTTTAGCAAGGTCGGCTTCTCTAAACCATGAAGGAATGACACCACCCTTGCAACAATTTGCTACAATTCGCTGGTCATCATCAGTTTGTTGGGGTAAGTCCACAAAGGTCACCCTATGATTGCAGCACTCTCCAAATTTCAGAACATTACTTTGTTTTGAAACTTTAGCACTCAGAGTGCTCAATAGAATTTCGTCTTCGTACCATGTCCACCCTAATTCCCATGGCCCTTCAATGGCTTCTTGCTTCTTCAAATAGTTGAAGATTGTGACATTAGCCGTGTAACTATCACGACTTATATTCATAAAGTCCCACCTTATTGTCACATTCCCGACTAGGTCCTCTGATAAGAAGCATGTAAGATTTAGTTATTATTATCCACTGTTCTAAGATACGGTCTATACAGCCATATATACAGAGACCGTATATGAAGTATTTCTGTTTAGCTGTGATGATGAGCCCGAAAATCAATCTTAACATCATCGGGACAACCGCACTTCAGAAGTACAACATCGGATTTGATCTTGAAGATGAAACTATCTACTTTGAAAAAATCTCGTGTGATTTGGTTTACTAGATTTAATTGCATTTTCTACGAGATATAAAGTCATGTGTAATATGATTTGTAAGAGATTTTAGGTTTGTAATAAGAGCTGAGCTTTCTTAAATCACGATAATATAAAAGATATAACATATGTTTTCTCTTCATGCTTCGTCAAAAATTATAAACAGAGGTATACTAAAGTCATAATTTACATTTCTTGATAATTAACATTCATATTCTTGTTGCAGTTTGATATTAGAGGTTGAAAAGAAGGTACACCAACCTTCAAATTTTGCATCTACTAGAAGAGCATCTTATATTTTAAAATTCTTGATTGAGTGTGATTGTTGGTTGTCGTTGTTGATCACCGTTTCTACCTAATTAGTACTTAAGCTTAGCTCATACATGTTGAGATGCACGAGATATCAACAAGTCAAGGCGTGCAATATATATGAATCAGTACTATTTGTTTCTAATGGGGTTGTGTTCACCTAATTTTAGGAAGATCAATAAGGTAGGGGACGCAAATGCAATGCTAGCATTGGAGAAAATACCAGTCTCATGAACTGTAGCATATTTTTATGCTCATAAGCAGTGAAGTAATGTTTGATTCATTAACATGAGTTTGTAATTTTTTTATAAAAAAGGGGACAAAAGCATAGTAATCTTAACAAAGCGGTACTTAGCAGAACAAGAACTACTAATGTAAATTAGACCCAGTTTTAAAAAAATTTGAACATGATACTGCTGGTGAACTTTCAATGTTCAAATAAAATGATGTTTCAGCCAAACTTTCACCAAAAGCATCTTGCTCATCTAGAGACATATTTTCTAACAACTTTGATCGTTCAAAATTTAACGGTCTTAAGGACATGATTATCAAGGGTTTCTTAACAATGGCTTTTAGGAATAATGGCTCTTAACTAAGACACCTTTCTTAGTATTTTACATGCTTTATCATTAATTTTTGATCTAAGATTTTGTTAAGAACTCTTTAAGAGCCCACGTGTGTCTAATAGAATTTTAATTGTGACAAATCTAATGGTTACACGTGTGTGCCCACGTGGTAGAGGAATGGAGATGGGCCAGATGGCTCCAGCTCCACCTTCTTTCGAAACACTAAAGAACCGGTTCGGTCTGAGATTAATTGAACTGATTACGGTTTTATGTCAAGATTTTGGTCGTATAAGTTCTCTCTCACGAAACCAATTTTAATGCTTGTCGCGTCTCTCGAATTAGGGTTCTAGTATCTCTGCTCTTTAAACTCTTATCGACGCTAAAACTCTCTACCCATCGCAGAGCCTATCTAAAGGTTCTCTTCATCTCACTCAATACTTATGTTTCGTTTCTATATGTTTTGCTTCTGATTGTCTTTATTCTGTAATCGCTTTGAGTCGTTTATGGTTTCCCCCATTTGTCTGTAATGTCCATGCTCTGTTTACAGTTTCCTCTCCGGCTTGTCAGATATCAGTTTAGTTCCTGATTTACTGAGAAACCAAGCTTTTGAACTTAAGCATGTTAGGGTTCTTACATTGATTGAGAAATCTTATAAACTGGTTTTGTTAGATATACTGAATAGGCTACAGTCTCTCATTACTTACCCTTGTCTCTATTCTTTGGAATCTATCCGTATGATTCTCTCTTTCTTGTTAGATTTATGAGCCCTAGTTCCACTCAGTTAAATGAAATCATCTGATATCTACAATCTTCTAGCTTCTTAACTCATGATAAATTGATGAGAGTAAAGAACACAAAAGTGTTTAGGAAGAATTATAATAGACTCTCATAAGAATAAAGTTATAAATTACATTCTCTTATATAGAGATAAAATTTCCTAATTTAAGATAAATATAAATTTAAATAATATATTTAGAGATAATGGTAAATATCCTAAACTAAGTTATGATAATCTTCTAGATCCTTCTCGATCTTCATGATTTCCATAATCTTAGGTGATCATCTCGATCGTCGATCTCGGTCGATCTCCGGTTCTCCCAATACCCCCCGGCAAGCTCATACGTGGTTACACGTTTGAGATTGGACAAGTCTTCAAAATAACGGCTTTATACCCGGCCGTCGGGTCATCATCGACGTTTATACCCGATCGTAGGGTTCAATGCGGCTACAATACCCAGCCGTTAGGTCATCGACGTTTATACCCGATCGTAGGGTTCAAAGCGGCTACAATACCCAGCCGTTAAGTCATCGACGTTTATACCCGATCGTAGGGTTCAAGTAATAGAAAATAACACCCGTGATTGCGAGGTTCGGATGTAGCTCGTGATGGCGAGGCTAAAAAAAACAACTCACGAGGGCGAGTAGTTTAATCAAAAGGAGAAGTTAAACTCGCGAGGGCGAGAAAACATCATTGTTCCCGAAACTGATTTTTTTTTTTTCTTTGCGGAAGCCAACGTAACGGATCCAAAATCTACAGAAAGGATCTTGGCTCTGATACCATGATAAATTGATGAGAGTAAAGAACACAAAAGTGTTTAGGAAGAATTATAATAGACTCTCATAAGAATAAAGTTACAAAATACATCCTCTTATATAGAGATGAGATTAATCTAAGTTTTCTAATTTAAGATAAATATAAATGTAAATAATACTTTAAAGATAAATGTAAATATTCCTAAACTAAGTTATGATAATCTTCTAGATCCTTCTCGATCTTCATGATTTCCACAATCTTGGGTGATCATCTCGATCGTCGATCTCGGTCGATCTCCGGTTCTCCCAATAGATCCTTAATTGAGAAGCTGTTAATAATCATTTGGTGATGTCGTCTTCAAGTTTTTTTGCTTTCACTGATTAGTGTTTTTGAAGTGTTTTATCTGCTTTGTTTGCATCTGTTGTTCTCCAGAGCTGTGATTGGCTTATAAAAGTTATTATACAGTCTTAATTCAACTGTGAACAATAATATATTTTTCAGGATTTTCACTTTATGTAAAACAAAACGCGTCTCTGAATGTTTTTGGTATGTTGAATCAGAATGGATTCTCAGATCAAGCACGCTGTTGTAGTGAAAGTGATGGGAAGGACTGGGTCAAGGGGTCAAGTGACTCAGGTTAGAGTGAAGTTCACTGACTCGGACCGTTACATCATGAGGAACGTCAAAGGACCAGTCAGAGAGGGAGATATTCTCACCCTGCTCGAGTCTGAGAGAGAAGCTAGAAGACTGCGTTAATTCTTTCTTTGCAAATTGGATAATTGAAGTCTTATATTGTGATGTTAAAAATATTAATTACTATCAAAGATGGATGCTTTAGAGTCTTCTATCTCATATTATAGTTATTATTTAATCACTAAAAGTTATTATTGAGATTGTATTAAAGTTATTTATGATTACTGGAATTCACTAAAACGTCTTAAAAGTTTTATAAAATTTGTAACAGCTATATTTGAAAAAAATCTGGTCAACAGTCAAATCTAACGTTACTCAATTAGTAGTCAAATTTAGATACTAGTTCATAAATTACTTATGGAAGTAACTGCCATCAGGAGCTATAAAGGAACAAAGAGAGCATAGTTTATGTTTAACCAATCAAAGCTTACTTATCACAAAATCATTTCACCTAATTTTGCATCCTTACAGCTTGATCATTTATCAAAGTTATGAGGTCTGCGACTTTGTTTCTGTTTTCATGTGTTATTATGTACCTTATTTTGAATTCGGTTCCAGGTAATATATCAATCTTCTTCTTTTTTTTTTTTTTATATAGCTTTGATTGGTTACTTGCAGATTAGGAGTTTGATTGCAAAAAATAGTACTACAATAAATACAAGGGAAAAGACTCTACATAATGGTTTAATAAATAAATTTGTTGCGTTTCCAATTATTCTAATACAAATTTCCTTTGATTGGTTTAAAATAATAGAGATGGAAGCTCATAATACCAAAATGTGCAAAATCGTTGGATCTTGGGAGGGTCGAAACTGCACAGGTGACGATGAAGCTAAAAATGCTACGTGCGTAGCAGCTTTTGCGGAGACACAAATAGTTGTTACTAATTGCACTTGTAATGAAACTAGTTACGCTGGTCTTATGTGTAGGTGTCTTAATCTTTGTTAGGTTTTAAGATAATTGTATAACAAAAATATATTTACTATTCTCTTTTATACAAAAAGGGAGTGAATGTATATTTTGTGACAAAAAAAAAAAAAAAAAAAAAAAAGTGGAGAGTGATATGCCTTTCTAAATCATCCATACCAACATCTCTAATTTTTACTCAAAATACGCCCCTTATATTAATGATTTTTTTCTTTTAAAAACAAAGGCAATATTCCTAAACTCAAATGATAATTTACATTACTTATTTTATTCTCAAATAATAATATTTATTATTATATCAAAATGTAATGCTATTCTCAAATAATAATATAGTAACTATTAGTCTATTCATGTTGTGATTATTTTGAAAGTTCAATTATTTTATTTCTAATTCATTTCATACAAAACAAAATCTAACAGTCAAGGATTTTTTGGAACTTCTAGGCTTCTGGCCGCATATATCTAAAAGGCACACGTGATTTTGTCTCTATGTCCTCATTTCAAGAATCTTTTTTCTTAATTCTTTTGGCAAGGACATCAATAAAAACTACACAAATTAAAGAGACCGACGTATTAATATGTTCAAGTTTTTTTTTTTCTTTTTTTCTTCAAGTTATCCAACAATACAAAATGTTTATGTACATATTGAAACTAAAGTGGAATAGAAATTAAACAACAAAAAATACAGCTGTAAAAATAATAAAAAATTAACTCTCATAGGAATTATAGTTTTTATATTATAAATACACAAATTTAGTTTTAACTAAATCAGTTGGCAATTGTTGGATATAATTTCAATATAAACCCAATAAAATATACCAAAATCGGAATAAGTGTAAATAAATTCTGAAAAGGTTGTCATCTAACTAATGACACAAGGAATGAGATGATGGATGATGGATTCCTCATTCTAAAAGGGCAACGGTTAAGATTTAAGAAATAAGATCCATAAAAGAAAGAACTAACGCGAACTAAACATATTTAGTAGGAAAATATTTTTTTGAGGACGTATCAAATATATTAATATCTATTTTAATTAGTTTTATTCATATACTTATATTTATAAGCTATATACAAAAAGATATTTTAATTAGTTTTTATTCACATACATAAATATTTTTCCTAAGGATACATACTTTATCAATTTAAATAATTACCATAACGTCTTATTTTGCTTATGCTTATGTTTTGCTTATGTTTTGCTTATTTTTTTCTTATTTTTCTCTTATTGTTTTCTTAGATTTTTTTTTCTTAGTTCATTAGTCAGAAACACAACAAAAGTTGTTACTATATTGTGATATTCATCCTTAGAAGCAAAAAAAGTAGAGAAATAGGTGTGTTGGACATAAAAAAAAAAAAGAAAAAATTTGGTGTTGATATGGTTTAAGAGAATTTTATTCCAAAATGGAGTTTATAGTGAAATTGAATGCTATTAAATTAGTTATCTGAGTGGCCAATATATGTAACATAACTTGGGGGTACCAAAAACTTTATATTCGGCTTACATGTACCACAACTGTCTTTATGATCGGCTTACCCGATCCACCAACGACTTCATTAATGTTGAAAGTTTAACTACCAACTTTGAGAATATAAGTAAGTAAGGAATTCAATCGTTAATAGCTTACATTAATAGACGAGTATCAAAGTATATGAACATAGATATCAAACACACGCTTACCAAAACTGTAGAATAAGTTGTCGTCAGTAATGATTATCTCAGAAAAGTGGAGACTAACAGTATAATTTCCATTACCAAGACAGAGTCTATAGTAGGTTAACACGAGAGGAGATATCCTACCTGTCTTGTAGAATGCAAAAGTGGGAGATGATGCATTCAATGATAGTCTTGAAGTGTTCGATATTGTATAATCGTCCACCTCTGTAAGATCATCCATAAAACGGCCAGTGCTGCTAAAGGCCAAAACACATTGTAGACCTCTTTCAAGTTTGTTTGGAAAATAGAGATTAGAATTATGTTTTAATCTTTTCCCATTTTTTTAGATAACTGTAATACCCCATGACACACATGTATTTATAAATAAAATTCTAAAATACCAATATTATACTAATTAATTATTTAAACTCTGTTTTATTTTTATTTTGTTAATCGCCGAAGATGTATTTTGTTAGTTAAGTCTGTTTTTGTTATAATGTGTGTATTGTATGTAAAAGGACAAAAAACGTGGCTTTATAAGAGAGGCAAAGTTAATCCTACTGAATTTTAATCCAAATAACAAAGTACTCCACATTTTGTTTAGGTACTCTAAAATGCGATTAATAAACATCTCGAAGCAAAGCTAGCTAGGTATGAATCAGTTGCCACAACCAAATTCCTATTTACATGATCAAGAAGATTCTGAATTTCGAACCCGATAAATCAAATAGAGAGTATCTGTAAAATTCCTATTAAAGAAAATACTATATGTAGAAAAATTGTAGATACAGAACATAATGATGATATGGGATCCATTGTTCATCATTACCTGATTTCTTTATTTTACTTCCGTCACAAGCATAATATAGCAATTCATCGCATGCCTTTCTCACCATCATTGTGATAATTTATTTAACTCAATTTAAAGATATTTGGCTAAAAATATGTGTGATCAACTTCATCCAAAAGAGATGACAAATCAAGAAATAAATTGAGGTTGTTACATTTACCCAATGATTCCTTTTCCTAAAAACTTTCGCAACACCGAAAATTGTTTGTCTCTCTAATCATGCCTTGGATAGTAATAATTTTACAACATCAGTATATAACAAAAAGCTTAGGCAACAAATTCATCATTTTGTAACTGTTTATATTCTCCAACTAGATTTTAACCCGCGGTACACCGCGGGATGATTTAATTTTAAAGTTAGTATAAAAATATTTTATAAATTGTATCTCCTTATAACATATTTATTTATATTATAGTTTACAATTGTTATTAAGTAACGGTATACCACGAGTCCAAGAGATAATTATTAATAAACTGAGGATTTAACCCGTATTAAAGCGATATATAAATATTGATTCAAATTCGTCCGCCATATAAATCATTTCCGAAATATAACCCGTTCCGTAATTTCTTAACCCGTCCTGTGATTTGTATTAAAAAAATAAGGATTAAATCCGTATTGAAGCGGCGGATTAATGATATTTTAATCTTTTTATTATTGTTGATTCAAAAACCCGTCCCGCCAAACCCATCCCGCCAAAAAACTCATTTATTTTATTAATGTTCTTATTTATGATAAGATTCTGAATCATTGTCTAAATATTTTAATCGATGTAGAACGTTGAACACACATTTTCGTCAATTGGATAATATATGTCCGTTTTTAAAATTTCGAATCACAGTATATGCAGAAAAAAATTGATTTTTTTTTTTACTTTATGTATTATATGATGATTCAAAACAGTTATAAACAAATCAAACAAAGATGATAGGAGAATCATAATTATAAATCTTAATCAAATCTTCTAAAAATCTAAATTATTAAATATGGAATATCCGGTGTATGAGTTGGGTTAAATATAACCCGACCCAACAAATTTTTTGTGAAGGAATTTTTAAAATGCGTCGGATAGCTTTTTTACCCACCCGTCATCAAAAGTGCTGCGATTATACTAGTATAGATAAATTTTATCATTGGTCAAACTATTTTTAGTTTTTTAGTTAGATATTAAGGTATGTTTTGAACGTAAAAAAATACAAAAAAAAAAAAAAAAAACTCAACTAGGTTCTTAAATTTTGTGTTTTTAGTCAAAACATATATTTTGATACATAGGAAGTATTGTACTACAGTTATTGATTTATTACTAAAATAGTAAAATCTATTGAGATTGTATCAAAGTGATTTTTTGATAACTGAAATTAAAAGTATTGATTTTTTTTGTAAAATAAAATTTGTACTTATTAGTTATACATGAATAAAAATTTGGTCAACAGTCAAATCAAACATTAATTCAATCAATAATCAAATCTAGAGAATCTAATTCATAAATTACTTAAGGGCTATAAAAAGACAAAGAGGGCATAGTTTCTTAATCACAAAATCATCTTACTGAATTTCACATCCTTACAGCTTGATTATTTTACTTAAGTTATGAAGTCTGCGACGTTATTTCTGTTTTCATGTGTTATGATGCTCCTTATTTTGAACACGGTTCAAGGTAATATATCAACCTCTTTAGCTTTGATTGGTTACTAGCATAATTTAGATTTTTTATTGCAAAAAACAGTATGGGAAAGGTTATAGATCATTGTTTTGTTATAAATTTGTTGTGTTTCAGATTATTTATTTAAATTTTATATTTTGATCGATATAAAAATGATAGAGATGGAAGATCAAAAGGTGAGGAAGTGCAAAATCAGTAATGTTTGGAAGGAAGATGGTCGACATTGCACTGGTGATGCTAAAGCTAGAGACTATATGTGTGTAGAAGCTTTTGCGGCGTTAAAAACAATTGTTACTAATTGCACTTGTGATGAAACTAGTTACCCTGATCTTACTTGTAACTGTCTTGCCGATTGTGAGTGGTGATCATGTGAATTAAGTCACTTTAAGATATTTAGTTAAAAAGATGTGTGATCAACTTCAATCCAAAAGAGATGCCAAATCAAGAAAAAATTGAGGCTGTTTTACTTTTACCCATTGATTTCTCTTCCTAAACCTTTACCACCGAAAAACGATGTTTATGTGTCTTTATAAGCGTTGTTCAAAAAAAAATAAAAAATATATATGTGTCTCCTTAATCATGTTTTGGATAGTACATAACAAAAAGCTTAGGCAACAAATTCATCATTTTGAATATCATTCATGGCATGCGCACTGCGCACACTGCACGCCTTATACGTGCCTCTGTTTCAGCCCAAGAAATAGATTTGGTCCATTTGGTTAAGCCTAAACCAAAATTACATTATATACCTGGGGTGACACCGGGATCGAAACCTTGGGTTCCAGTTATATTTCCAATTTTATGCAAAATTGTATTGATCTGAGATTAATTTGTATCCTGGCTTACATAGACGAATAGTAAATTCAGGGCCGGCCCATGGGTATAGCCCATGAAGCAAGGGCTTTAGGCATCAAATAATTATAAGTAGTTTTAGGGGCATCAATTTTTAAAATGTTACTGTGGTCTAGTGGTTAGATTGAAGTCTTTTGTTGTACAGGTCACGGTTTCGAATCTCATACATGTTAAAACTTCTATTTTTTTTTATAACAGCTTTTGTTAATGGGCCAAATTTTTTTTTGCTTTAGGCACTCAAATAGTTTGGGCCGGCCCTGAGTAAATTCATAAGAAATTTGTCAATCAAGCCAAAAAAGGGTTTATCAGTGAATGTACCGGCCTAACCACTCCCATAACCAAAACCACATATCCAAACCCACACCTTACTCTCACACATAATTTCACAGACGAAATTTTGGTCGATAAAAAGTAACCAAACAATGTACCCGAAAGCGAACCATCTTAACCAGAGTCACTCATTTACCCCCTCCAAATATATGGCTATCTGCTTATTTAAACCGGACGTAACACAACTCTTCTTCACACCTCAAGTAAAATGGAAGCAAACACTCTGTTTCTTCTAAAGGCTCTTTGTCTTCTCTGTTTTAGTGTATGCTTCACATTGGCTTCCGACCCTGATCCCATCCAAGACTTCTGTATACCAAAACCTATGACATCTCCTTATCATGACCATCACTTCTCCACCAATCTTCCTTGCAAAAACTCCTCCGAAGTAACCACCGAAGATTTTGTCTTTTCCGGTCTAAAAACTGTCGGAAACTTCACGGAGACTGGCTTCGCCACCGTCCCAGTAAGCCCGGTAAACTTCCCGGGCCTTAACACATTAGGCCTGTCGTTTGTCCGGGCTGATCTCAAACCAGGATCCATAAACCCACCACATTACCACCCGCGGGCCACGGAAGTAGCCCACTTGGTTAAAGGACGGGTTTACTCCGGTTTTGTGGACTCGAACAATAAGGTTTACGCAAAAGTGATGGAAGAAGGAGAAATGATGGTTTACCCCAAAGGGCTTGTGCATTTTCAGATGAACGTGGGAGATGTTACGGCCACGATTGTCGGCGGACTTAATAGCCAAAACCCTGGTATTCAGAAGATACCGTCGGTTGTTTTTGGATCAGGGATCAATGAGGAGTTGCTTATGAAAGCTTTTGGGTTGAGTCTTAAGCAGATTGGTACGTTGAAGAAAAGATTTGATCCTGTCATGTCTAATGAGCATTGATGTTTTCGCTTAAGTCTTACCGAGATTAATTATTATATGGAAGTTATTTATCTATGTTATGGTTCTTGATCATAATGTTATTTTATATATTTTGACCCAAAAAATGGTCATCTTTAGTTAGACAATGTTTCTTTCTAACTGAATTATTATCGCTTATCCACACTTCACATATATAATCCTGAATTATTATCACTAAACCTACATAAATTTGGCAACGTCACCAGCTTTGAAATTTTGACAATATTTTCTCCAATACACACAATATATCAAAATCAATGCCAGTTCTTCTTTGTAAGGCTCTAAAGGCTACAAAAATCCTCCAATTTGTCGTAATTTGATCACTGTACTCTTGGACATATGTGAGAAAAAGACGAGATTTATTTGACACTAGCTAACTTGGAAGCTATGGAAGCTATATTTCCAGCAATAGAAGAAACTTTAACTTGCTATCTGAGCACTCTCATTTATTAAACGTTGCTTAAACTCATCGTTTCCTCTCTTTTTCTACAAGAGTGTTGTTTCTCACATAACAGAGAAGGAATTGTTAAAGCCGGTATTTTTATATATCGAGCTTTGCGGTTTCGGTTTAGTTGTTTAATACCGTACCAGAAATGCCGGTTCAATTAGATTCTCTATAACCTCAACATCTCCATTCCCTCCACATTCACAACCTTCTCATGGATCAGCCACGGCAAAGCTCGACGGCGTCTCAGCCACCGGAAACACCTCCTCAGCCATCAGATTCAGCTTCGAAACCAGCGACTTTAACACAGATTCAACCACCGCCTTCTACAAATCCGAGTCCCTCCTCCGTTGTTTCCTCTATTCCTTCTTCCCCAGCTCCACAATCACCATCGCTCAATCCAAACCCTAATCCTCCTCAATACGCGCGTCCGGTGACATCTCCGGTGACGCAACAGCAGCAACATCTCTCCCAGCCTTTGGTACGGCCGCCTCCGCAGGCGTACTCGAGACCATGGCAACAACACTCCTCTTACACTCACTTCTCCTCCGCTTCGTCGCCATTGTTATCTTCCTCATCAGCTCCGGCTTCTTCGTCTTCGTCTTTACCTATTACTGGGCAACAAAGAGGTGGCATGGCGATTGGCGTTCCAGCTTCCCCAATTCCGAGTCCTTCTCCTACACCTTCTCAACATACGCCTTCTGCTTTTCCCGGCTCTTTTGGGCAGCAGTACGGCGGATTAGGTCGTGGAACTGTCGGAATGTCAGAAGCTACGTCCAATTCAAGTGCCCCTCAGGTGGATTTTTATCTCTCTTATGTGCCACATTTCAAAGAATTGTGCTTGTTACAAGAAAAATACCAACTTTTTGTGTGTGTGTGTGTGTGTTCAGGTTAGAATGATGCAAGGAACTCAGGGAATTGGGATGATGGGGACACTTGGCTCAGGTTCCCAAATGAGGCCGAGTGGGATGGCTCAGCACCAACAGAGACCAACTCAATCGTCTCTAAGACCAGCTTCCTCCCCAAGTACCCAATCTCCTGTTGCCCAAGTATGTATATTTGATCCTTCTGGCCTCTGTACCTTGAAAATTAGGAACTCCAGCTTTGTGACTCATTGTTAACAATAAAATTTGCCTTGTATGATTTGGGAATCATTGTTCACCTCATTAGCTCAAAACTTGTGAAGTACTAAGATACAAAGTTTCTGTATGACTTAATAGCAAATTTTCACTACTTTCTTTGATTTGCTAATTACTCAAATGTTCGGATGGCTGGATAGAGCTTTAGGTGAATGTTACATGCTCATACAAATACATCAGAGCTTCCTTTATATAGTAACTTTGAGCCACCTAACCTTGCATATCTGTGTTTTGTAAGCTGAATTGGTTACTTGACCAACATCAATTTGCTTTTCTTGTAACTCTTTCCTCATTGTAATTTTGAGTTTGTTTGACAAAACTCTTCATGAACTTTGTTTGCACACTTTAATTCTTTATATTTTTATTTTGGCAGAACTTTCAAGGACATAGCCTTATGAGACCTTCACCTATTGGCTCTCCTAGTGTCCAATCTACTGGTGCATCACAACAAAGCTTGCAAGCCATTAATCAACCTTGGTTATCATCTACTCCCCAAGGGAAGCCGCCTTTGCCACCTCCTTCGTATAGACCACAAGTAAATTCTCCCTCCATGCAACAAAGACCTCATATTCCTCAGCAACATCTTTCTACGTCAGCAGCAACTTCACAGCCTCAGCAACTACAATCTCAACAACAACATCAGCCTCAAGAGCAACTTCAACAATTGAGATCTCCGCAGCAGCCTTTACCTCACCCACATCAACCAACCCGGGTCCAAGGGTTGGTAAATCAGAAAGTTACTTCTCCGGTAATGCCAAGCCAGCCTCCTGTGGCTCAACCAGGAAACCATGCTAAAACAGTTTCTGCAGAGAATGAGACATCTGATGATCGTATCCTGGGGAAACGAAGCATCCATGAGCTACTTCAACAGGTATCCACTGACCTCTCTTTATATTCTCAACTTTGGGTAGCCATTTTGCATATTGACCAGTATGCCAGTAATACCTCCCATAGAAAGCCAAAAAGCATGCATGGTGACTATGAACAGATTCAGTAATAACATATATCTATAGTTATAGGGGCTACTTTGATGGTGTTCTACACTCAATTTCTCTGCATGATATCCATTGATTTTTTCTCTAAATTTAAAATGCCTTGCCTATCCACAGATTGACCCGTCAGAGAAATTGGATCCAGAGGTTGAAGACATCCTTGCTGATATTGCTGAAGATTTTGTGGAATCAGTAAGTAGCCCACACCACATTGGCTAAGAGTCAAACATTTCTGTCCTCTGATGAGTTTTTTTTTTTTTCTAAATCCTGCACGTTGTGTTTCCTTTTACCCAGATCACAACTTTTGGCTGTTCTTTAGCCAAGCATAGAAAGTCAGATACTCTAGAGGCTAAGGACATCTTGCTCCATGTTGGTTCGTTCTGATCCATATTATCCGTCTGCCCGTTTTCTTTCCAATTACAATGATTAATTTATTTTTAGTATCTGTTCTCCTTAAATGTAGAAAGAAACTGGAATATCAGGCCTCCTGGTTTTAGCAGTGATGAGTTCAAGACATTTCGAAAGCCAGTAAGAATTAGAGATTTGCATTTTATCAATCGTCCAATTTACAATATAGTTGCTAACTTCTTTGTTTGTTTCCTTGGATAATGTTTTGCAGTTGACAACAGATATTCACAAAGAGCGACTTGCCGTCGTAAGTTTTAAGTAAAAAAGCATACATGATTTTAACCATCCTACCTGGCAAACAGTATTAGATTATGGTACTGAGTAGAAGATAAGCTTATATATTGAAGATTTTTCTTGTTGACTTTGCATATCCATTGTGGGTTTTGAAGATAAAGAAGTCGGTCACGGCAACAGAAGCAGCAAGCGCCAGGAATCAGTTTGGGCATGGGACTGCTAATGCAAGAGGCGGTCAGTCAAAGACGCCTTCTAATCCCTTGGGCTCTACAACTTTCAATCACTGATATATTAGATCAACCCTCCAATCGTGTTTTGTAGGAATTTTCCATTACAAAGGTACGAATGTTGTAACACCCATTTTGTACTTCATCTTGATCTTAGTCCAAGATAACTACAAGCATGGAGGCTAGGCTAGATCTTAATTTTAACCATTAGTAAAGTATCTGACCACCTTATGGGATTGAATTGATTCAATGTTTTGCAAAGCACAAAGGTGTATGAATTGAGAGATGAGAGATAAGAGATGAGACACAGTTATAAAGCGGTTACGAACCGGACTAGCCGGTATTATCCATTAAACAGATTCGTCTCATACAGTTGAATCTTCCATAGCTTTGATCAGTTTTATACTTTTACTGATGTGTTGACATTGGGGGGAGTGTACACAGAAAATCTTGATACAATTTTGGCTTCATTAGTCCTTTTAGCCTTCAACGATCTTCACTGGCGTCCTGCAGAATAAAACCGAAAAGAAAGTTTTCAGGGCACGTTCATTCGATCAATTTTACCGGGTTTTAGTTGATTGTTTTCACTTACCCGAAAGGACTCTGTTTGATTGATAACAGCTCAATGTCAAGCTGCAAAAGAAAGGTAACATAAATGAACACCACTTTTGGAGCCAACAAAACTCAAATTAATCCAACTTGGTTACCTCTATCGTTGCATTTGGAGGAATCTCTTGCACTCCTTTCTTCCCATAAGCCAGCTCAGGAGGAACAATCACCAGTCTCTGTATACAAACCTCAGCGGGTCATCAAAACAAGACTTTGTGTGGCCTGACTTTGTAAAGCCCTTTCGGTTTCAAAATCTAACCTGACCACCTACACGCATCCCTTCAACACCAAGATCAAGTCCTTTCAGAACATTGCCTCTCTCTGATTGCCCAACGTCAAACCCATAAGGCTGCAAAAACTCTTTATTATCAGTAAAGGATCCTTGCATATTCAAAGTACAGTAATGGATTCTGTGAGATTTCCTTAAACTGACCGTTCCACCTCCAACGCCAAGTCCTTGTCGACTTGTCATGAACGTTATCCCTTTCCATTTTACGTTATCCCTTTCCATTTTGCAACATAGTGAACCTGCAACACAATCCCTTTGGGTTAAGCGTCAACGCTTGTTAAAACTGTTAGCAGGAAACGTATTCACAACCGTACTGCGACCCGCGATCCTTTCACAGCCTCTGCTCCGTTGCCAACTTTTATATCATAGTACCTGGAACAAAATAATTAGAAACCAAACTATTGATTTTTGCGATAAAGACTCTTATCCTTCAATCCATTTTGCGGTACAAGTACTCTAACGAATTCAAACAAAACTAGTTGCATTAGATTCCGGATTGTAGGCGGGAAGGCGAGTTCTGAAACATTTCAAAGGTCTCATAAACACTGTTTTCAATCTAAACAATGCATCATGCATGATCTTGGGGACGGTTATGTAGTAAAGGGAAAATGTACGGACTTGAGACCATTAGGGAGAGTCGTGAATTCGCTTTCCGGTAACTTGGATGCACGTAGCTGCAGAGAATTGTATGTAAGAGATTGAGTTTTGAGTCAAGAACACAATTTATGCATATAGATATCTATGCTTACAGCTCTTCTGCTGGTGCTTACGGCCTCGGCTGAATCAGTTGACAAAATCCCAGAGGCTGTTTTGATTCAGACAACAACTCTTTTAAGAATTTTGAAACACTGATTGAAAGCTAGCTTAAGTGGAGATGTAAAGAACTGATTAGAGAATAATCTAACCGGTAGCGAGGAGACATCCAAGTAAAACCCTTCTCCCTTCGAAGCTCACAGGCGCCGGAGAAAGGACAGTCTCTGGTCTGATGACCTTTTCGCAGCCGGGAGAAGGTAACGAGCACCGGTACGGTTTGGATTGACTTTTTCCTGCAAATTATAACAAAACCAAAACAAAACAATGTTTAGCTTAATCCGTGTCTTGATTCTTGGTTCAAAACATACAAGTAGTTGACAGAGAGAGATAACAGATGTGTGTACTTGATGGAAAAGGAATGGAGGAAGACAGAGAGTGATGGAGAGGGTGAACAAGTTTCATTGTTAAGATCATTGTTTCAATGTTTTTGTGTTAGTTTACAGATTCTTGTTGTCTAAAACGAAGAAACTAACTGATTCTTGCCTTCTTTCAGGGTGTGCCCTTAATTGTGTGTGAGACTAAGAAGAAGAGAGAAATGGATAAAACTGGAATTCTCATCCACAAGTTCTAGATTTTAAGATTCTCTCAAGTCACACCACCATTTTACAACCAAATTTCTTGTCGGAGACCTTATAAATAAATAAATCTCTTTTTTTTTTTGCTAAAGAAAAAGGTAAACAAAAATACAAAATGTAGGAATGATCCACCAATTGCGTCCATTGTCGTTATTAATTACATGCAATAGATTAGGGACAATCACGGAGTAATAGTTTTTTTAAGTTCGGTTTGTAATTTATGTGTCCGGTTTAACTTATATAAAGACAAAAAAAGTCCTGGTTAATGTTTGGTGAGAATCGGTTTATAAAAGGTTTTTTTTTTCCATACCGTTCACAGATAGTTTTGTTTGTTGTGTTGTTAAGAGCCGCCACCACCACCTGCTTCTCTCTCTTTAACTCTCTCTAAACCCATGGATTCCGTTCGGCTTCCAACGGCGCCATCCACTCTCCGTAGCCACATTCCCCTGCCATCAAAACCAGTGATCGGAATCACTCACTTCTCCCGCTCTCGGATCCCAGTGGCTGTTATGTCACGAGACGAAACATCTATGGCTCCGCCGCCTCCAAAGGCTCCTTTACCACGGCTCAAAGTCTCTCCGAATTCGTTGCAATACCCAGCCGGTTACCTCGGTGCGGTACCAGAACGTACGAACGAGCCTGAGAACGGAAGCATAGTCGAAGCTATGGAGTATTTGACGAATATACTGTCCACTAAGGTTTACGACATCGCCATTGAGTCACCACTTCAATTGGCTAAGAAGCTATCTAAGAGATTAGGTGTTCGTATGTTTCTTAAAAGAGAAGACTTGCAACCTGTAAGTTAAAAAGCTCCTCCCTTTTTAAATTCTTTGATTGCATTTTTTTTTAAAGGTTCGTGATTTATACATATTGGTTGATTTTTAGCTGAATCATGTATGAAATTGAGGTTTATGTGTTGTTGTACTGAGTGGTGACTGGACATGTTTCAGGTATTCTCGTTTAAGCTTCGTGGAGCTTACAATATGATGGTGAAACTTCCAGCAGATCAATTGGCAAAAGGAGTTATCTGCTCTTCAGCTGGAAACCATGCTCAAGGAGTTGCTTTATCTGCTAGTAAACTCGGCTGCACTGCTGTGATTGTTATGCCTGTTACAACTCCTGAGATTAAGGTATTTTCCATTTTTAAGCTTTCTCATTTCTTGAAGTTAGTATCTGATGGTATTCTGGGATTGAAAAAACAGTGGCAAGCTGTAGAGAATTTGGGTGCAACGGTTGTTCTTTTCGGGGATTCGTATGATCAAGCACAAGCACATGCTAAGATACGAGCTGAAGAAGAGGGTCTGACGTTTATACCTCCTTTTGATCACCCTGATGTTATTGCTGGACAAGGGACTGTCGGGATGGAGATCACTCGTCAGGCTAAGGGTCCATTGCATGCTATATTTGTGCCAGTTGGTGGTGGTGGTTTAATAGCTGGTATTGCTGCTTATGTGAAGAGGGTTGCTCCCGAGGTACTCTTTTTTGCTGTGACTGCTTTAGCAATGTCACCATGGTTCTGTTCTTGTTACTAACAGCTACTTGTGACAAAATCCAAATTTTTTATTGAGAAATGAGTTCCTTCAGCTTCTGTTTCTTATTGTGACTTTTGGGTTATGCAGGTGAAGATCATTGGTGTAGAACCAGCTGATGCAAATGCAATGGCGTTGTCGCTGCATCACGGTGAGAGGGTGATATTGGACCAGGTTGGGGGATTTGCAGATGGTGTAGCAGTTAAAGAAGTTGGTGAAGAGACTTTTCGTATAAGCAGAAATCTAATGGATGGTGTTGTTCTTGTCACTCGTGATGCTATTTGTGCATCAATAAAGGTATGGTACTATCCTTGATATGTTATCCCTTGTCATACGGTGTTTAGCATATGCATACTGCATTGTAGATAACCATATACTTGTCTCTACAGGATATGTTTGAGGAGAAACGGAACATATTGGAACCAGCAGGGGCTCTTGCGCTCGCTGGAGCTGAGGCATACTGTAAATATTATGGCCTAAAGGACGTGAATGTAGTAGCCATAACCAGTGGTGCTAACATGAACTTTGACAAGCTAAGGATTGTGACAGAACTCGCCAATGTCGGTAGGCAACAGGAGGCTGTTCTTGCTACACTCATGCCGGAAAAACCTGGAAGCTTTAAGCAATTCTGTGAGCTGGTGTGTGTTTGGTATTATAGCATATAGAAGTTAATCCCATTACAGAATGCATCTAATACAAAACATTAATGGGTGCAGGTTGGACCAATGAACATAACCGAGTTCAAATATAGATGTAACTCGGAAAAGGAGGCTGTTGTACTATACAGGTAAGTCCATTCCTGGGAAATTCCTTCGTTCCCGAGTAGTTTATTCATCCTCTAATCTGCACAATTTTGTGTATTGTTGTCTAGTGTCGGAGTTCACACTGCCGGAGAGCTCAAAGCACTACAGAAGAGAATGGAATCTTCTCAGCTCAGAACTGTCAATCTCACAACCAGTGACTTAGTGAAAGATCACCTGCGTTACTTAGTGCGTCCTTGATCGATTTTTCTCTGTGCTTATTTCTCCTTTAGGATTACTATATTTCCAATTCATTCCCATTGGTTGATGCAAAGTTGTCACACTTTATACATATCAGATGGGAGGAAGATCTACTGTTGGAGACGAGGTTCTATGCCGATTCACCTTCCCCGAGAGGCCTGGTGCTCTAATGAACTTCTTGGACTCTTTCAGTCCACGGTGGAACATCACCCTTTTCCATTACCGTGGACAGGTTTGTTTCCCAATTCACCATAAAAATGTTTTAATGGAACTTTGAGGCTCCTCCTTACTATACATCTTCCTTCTTTTAAAAAAGGGTGAGACGGGCGCGAATGTGCTGGTCGGGATCCAAGTCCCTGAGCAAGAAATGGAGGAATTTAAAAACCGAGCTAAAGCTCTTGGATACGACTACTTCTTGGTAAGTGATGACGACAATTTTAAGCTTCTGATGCACTGAGTTTGAAGCTGTGATTGATAATCCAAATCCCAGGAAGAAGAAGAACCCATCAGAGTCTTCCTTCTGATCATGGTTGTTCTTGAGCTTCTTTTGTCTGTTTTCTCTCGGGTCCGTCGGATGAGCGTTTTAGTAACGGTAGTTGAATGAGTAAAATCTCTCTATATGATTATTGCTCGTAATCCATAATAAAATCTCTCTATGATTATTGCTCTTAATCCATAATAAAATCTCTTTTTGAATATGTAAATTATATGATGCTTAGTATTGATCTTCTTAAAGGGTTACTTGGTATTTGATTTTCAAAGAGGCAAAGCTTAATAAGTGTTTGTCTAGTCCTGTATCTAAAATTTTTGCTCGGGTTACAAGCCTAATCTTGTTCTGTTGTGTACCAAATCCATCATTTTTGGTTGTCTCAGTTTAAGATTGGTCTGACTCTGACCTAAGGCTGGCAAAAAAGTCACAATCATTATTACGCGGTTAAACAGTTACTATATTTGGTTAATGTTTTTTTCTAAAAGACCATAAACTTCATATATCTATTTTTATTTTATGGAACTTTTTAAAATAATGATTGATATCTGTTTTTTTTTTTTTTTGTATGAAGATTTCTAATTTTCTATGATATAAAGAAAAAGTTGTGAAATTTAAAAACATATCTATATAAGTTTAGGAAAAAAAAACAAATATGTTTTTCATTTAACTTGTGAGGCATTTAAGAAAAAAAATCTTATGAAAAGTTAGGTTGGATTTATTGGGTAAAAGTGTAAAACAGTGGCCAAGGAAAAGGCAGCTCCATTGTTTTGCCAAAACCAGCCCCTTGGTTTGGGATTGATTTTGTAATCCCAAAAAGGAAATAAAAGTAAAAAAAATAAAACCAAAAACCACAAAACCATGGGCAGTTTTCAGATCATCCCTATGACAGCCCCCAAAACCAGCTGCTCTGATTCTCTCCTCTGTATATTACTCTCTTTATCTTCCTTTGACTCCAATCCTGAAACCACTTCACCACAAACTTCTTCAACACAAACTAAACAAAACTCAAAAGTAAGAACTCGAAGATACTGTAGTTACAAATTCTTGTCGGAATTCTCTTACTTGGTCGGAAATTTCGAATTTCTGGGTTTCAAAATCTGGGTTTGTGGGATTCGTGTTGATTTATCTACTATTGTTTCCAATTTTCAAATTTTCTTCAATTTAGGGTTCAGAGTTTGATGGAATCGAATGTGATGTTCTCTGGGTTTAGTCCAAGAATGTTAAGCTTAGAAATGCCGCAAAATCCACAAAATCCAGTTCAATTCCAGCATCCTCATCCTTACACCACCTCCGGCGACCAACAAACTCAGCCGCCGATGAAATCCTTATACCCATACGCCTCAAAACCCAAACAATTGTCACCCATAAGCGGTGCCGGCGACGACGAAGATCGCGGGTCGGGTTCCGGATCCGGTTGCAACCCTGAAGACAGCGCGGGAACCGACGGGAAGAGGAAATTGTCACAATGGCATAGAATGAAATGGACGGATACAATGGTTCGTCTTTTGATCATGGCGGTTTTCTACATCGGCGACGAAGCTGGTTTAAACGATCCAATTGACCCCAAGAAAAAGACCGGCGGTGGCGGCGGAGGAGGGATGTTGCAGAAGAAAGGGAAGTGGAAATCTGTGTCGAGAGCTATGGTGGAGAAAGGTTTCTCTGTGTCACCACAACAATGTGAAGACAAGTTCAATGATTTGAACAAAAGGTACAAGAGAGTTAACGACATTCTTGGTAAAGGAATCGCTTGTCGTGTCGTAGAGAATCAAGGATTGTTAGAGAGTATGGATCATTTGACTGTGAAGTTGAAAGATGAAGTCAAGAAGTTGCTTAATTCTAAGCATCTTTTCTTTAGAGAGATGTGTGCTTATCATAATAGTTGTGGTCATCTTGGTGGTCACGACCAACCACCGCAACAGAATCCGATTTCGATTCCTAGTCAGCAGAACTGTTTTCACGCGGCTGAAGCAGGGAAAATGGCGAGAATTGTGGAGCGTGTGGAGGTGGAGGAGGAAGTAGAGTCTGATATGGCGGAGGATTCGGAATCGGAGATGGAGGAATCAGAGGAGGAGGTGGAAGAAGATACGAGGAAGAAGCAGAGGATATCAACGGCGGTGAAGCGGTTGAGGGAAGAAGCGACGCGTGTAGTGGAAGATGTTGGGAAAAGCGTGTGGGAGAAGAAAGAGTGGATGAAGAGAAAAATGTTGGAGATTGAGGAGAAAAAGATTGGGTATGAGTGGGAAGCAGTGGAGATGGAGAAGCAGAGGGTGAAGTGGATGAGATATAGGAGCAAGAAGGAGAGAGAGATGGAGAAGGCTAAGCTTGACAATCAGCGACGGAGGCTTGAAACGGAGAGGATGGTTCTGAATTTACGGCGGACTGAGATTGAGTTGAGTGAGTTACAGTCTTCGGGTAAACGGGTTGACCTTAGTTCCGCTAAAGGGTGATCGTGATTAGTGTTTCACAGTTTCAGCATTTTAGTGGTTAGGATTAGAAATTTTAGAAATTTGTAGTTTCTAATGTGGAGGATGCTAGGATTCTCACGTTTTGGGACAGTAATCAGCAAATTAAAATCTTTAAAGTATGGACTATGGAGGAATGTCTTTAATTGGTAAAGTAGAAGAAAATAAACTTTGTAGACAGAAGGTCTTTAATCAGCAAATTGATTAGCACGTCTACTTTGTAGTTTCAAATGTGGAGAATGCAGATTATCACGTTGTCGATATTTCAACGGTTGGGTAAAGTGAGAAGAAATTAATCAATAGGCGCGAAATATACAGGTCGGGGCCCAGCAGCTGCCTGCCCTCTGGCGCGCACTTGGCAGCCTTTTTTT